GTTCAAACGGTTTCAAATCGGGCCCTGATTAGCCTCCCAAAGTTTAAACTCATTTGATAAGAAACTGACTTGGCACAAACCATTTGAAGTTTATATGGAAATTACTATGGGAAAACAAAACTTTTTGTTCATTGTATTCTAGCCTTTTAACATATTGTACTGTTAACAAATTCTATTGCTATTCTTATGGGAATTTTAATCAGCTACAACTTTGCAGGAAATAATTTTTCAGCCAAACGTCATATTAAATAGTTATTAATTGTTTAAGAGATTGATAATCTTATGGCAAGATTAAGCAACTGTGTTGTGGGCAACACTGTATTCTTCATAGTGACATAGTAGCCATGATTTTTGTTCTCTATTCTACGCGCCATAAACGCCAATGTTGCCTGCTGAACAGTTGGTTGAGCATAATAATAATACATCAGTGACTTGAATCATTAATTATTTATGTTCCTTAAATTTGATCGAAAATTGGTCTTGAACAAAGTTGTAGCTGAGAAAATTTTCAACAAGCTCAGTTATAATTTTCTAAAGTAGAGTGAACTGGTGAATTTTGAGATAGATATGAACCTAAATTATGGTTTTTCCATAGTAACTCCCATATAAACTTCAAATGGTTTGTGCCAAGTCAGTTTCTCACTAAAGGAGTTTAAATTTTGGGAGGCTAATCAGGGCCCAATTTGGAACCGTTTGAGCACTGTGGAACAAAAATTTCAAATTTTGCATCAGTCTAATGTCTCAGTGAATGGGGAGAAGAGCCCGCCTTCTTTTCACGGAATGTTTATAGACATGGAGTTTGCATTTCCACTCTCTCCATCTATTTCACTCTAGCTACTCTAACTAGAGGGATTTCAACAGAGAGAGAAAGGACTGCGTCCACTTTCCATCACCAATCACTCGCAACAAAACGGCTTCAGTTCGCCAGTAAACAGTCTGTAAGACGCAACGCCAGATCCTCACTGGCCGAATCAATTCGCGACTAACGCCGAAATCAGAACTGACAACTCCAGCGACCGAAAACAAACGCGTCTAATAGCGGCCACGGAATACTTAGATTGCATTTCTGAAACACAACGACAACGCACAATCATGACGACAACATTCGACAAGCATTTTTCGTCCGGGAGGCGGAACGCCAGCACGCTGCAAGCAAGGAAAAAAAACGCACACACAGAGCATGGCATGAGCTGAACTGTACACTTAGACTGTGAACCATTTGCCGAGTTAAATTTAACTCGTGGTTAAAAGTGACATTTTGAAAGTTATTTCTTATGTTCGAAAATCCCTGTGCTACCGATCGATCGGTTTTCGAGCAGAACTCAGCCACGGTTGTGAAATTTTAACTTCTTGTCTGTCAGAAATAACAACGCTCGGATAGCAAGGTTAACCAATAACTTTCCATCTGTCAACTTTTAACCAAAAGTAAAAAAAAAATCCATCAAATGGTTCAGAGCCCTTTTTTTTTCCTTGTCGGGTATTTTCATCACTGCGACCATTTTTCTGATCTATTGGGATATAGGGTTAACCACCCCATTTCCGGCCTATTAAGCACAACCCGCACTTAGTCTTTCTTAATCTAGCGCAGTTTAGCACCAAACGGAATGTTATTATTACTGATGGCTTCCAAATTTATTTACCTTTCCGTACGTACCGTAAGATTTGCTAAAGAGAAACCAATCGTTGAGATATTGTCAAAAGTCTAACACTGCTTCTTGACGCCAAACTCGGCCTACGGATTCTAAACTCGGCCTAACGCATTGAAACGCCATTGAAACGCCAATGAATTCACTTCGGCCTATAGGATGAGGATAAAAATTGATTCGGTCGGAGCGCTTCTTTTGTTTTTGTGAATTATGGGTGCAAACCTTCATATCATGCGTACTCATTGACTTAGTTCGGTAGCTTATTGACTATAGTATCTTACCAAACGTATAATTGACTTGCTAACGCCGAAATCATGGATTTATTTGAAGTTTTCTGTTCGATAGGTCCAAAATGGGTGATTAGGCCGAAGTAGTTCTCTACCCTATTCCCCATTTTTTTTTTCTTTAGCTATATCAAGATGCCGTATCACTATTATTAGGAGTGATCGCCATCGTTTGACTAATAGCATTATCCCAGCACGGCATTATACTTCGAATAAAGTGCACTGCCGTACTGGGAGTTGTTCTCCAAATGTCAAAGGGTTCTATCAGCCCCTTGTCGAAGAACTTACGCCTTTTATTGAAAATTGCCGGACAGTGGCATAGCAAATGTTTCGAGTCTTACTTTTCTATGCCACAGAAGCGACATACATCATCTTGAAGTTTTCCAATCAGCTTCAAGTGATAACGGCTCGGACAATGACCTGTTATAAGACCTGCATATATACTAAGATCTTTCTTAGAAAGTTCCAGGATTTTGTGGGTCACAGAAATGTTTGGATTAATAAATCGCTTCGACTGCCTAGCAATGGAAGTGTTCTTCCAGTTTTCCTCCACTTTTGAAGATTCCCACGCTTTTAGCTCCATTCTAAGAGATGCAGCCGATAAGCCACAAAAGGGCTCTGGCCCGATGAACTTATGAGAAGATCCGAGTCTTGCTAGTGCATCAGCTCTTTCATTTCCCTCAATCCCGCAATGACCAGGAACCTAATATAAGTTGACTTGATTATGACAAGACAATTTTTTAAGTGATTGAACACACTCCCAGACAAGTTTTGATGTACATGTCGCCGACTTTAAAGCATTTAGAGCAGCTTGACTGTCGGACATGACGCATATATTTAAACTCTTATAGTTTCTACGCAAACATATAACGGAACACTCTAAAATTGCTTGGATTTCAGCTTGGAACACATTTAGCCATCTGCCCATAGGAACCGATATTTCTATCCCTGGGCCAGTTACTCCTGCTCCCACTTGATTGTTCAATCTTGAACCATCTGTATAAAAAACAATCGATCCTGGACGAAGAACCGGGCCACCAAATTGCCATGAATTACGCCCAGGGTCAACTACTCGAAAAAGTCGATTGAAGTTGTATCTTTTCTCCATCCAGTCTTCGTTGTTCCTTACTAGAGAGTTGATACTAACAGTTTTTAGAATCGTAAGATGTCCTCTAAGGTCTCCTTCAAAGAGTTTCACTGACCTTGTAATCCTTAGAGCACACTTTTCGGCTTCTAATTGTACAAATTGATGCAATGGTAGCATATAAAGCAAAGCATCCAATGCCTTCGATGGTGTACTTCTCATTGCACCTGTTATTGAGAGAGTTGCTAACCTTTGGAGTTTTTCTAACTTTCTCTGAACAACACTCTCTTTTGTTTTTGGCCACCAGACCAATGCACCATAAGTAATCCTGGGTTTCACAATTGCCGAGGAAATCCAATGGATCATTTTCGGTTTCAGTCCCCACTGTTTACCGAATGTTCTTTTGCATATCAGAGCCTTAGAAATAACTAATTTTACACGTGACGGAGTCCGTCTTTGACATGAAAGATGTGACGTAAACAAACATTTCATGAAATATTAAGTGCTTTGGGCCTGCAAAGTTTGTTGCTCTACGAAAATTAAATTTGATTGAGCTATATTTCGCGTCTGTTATGACTCAAATTTATGTCAAAATTTGTCACTCTCAGAGATTTACATGAACTTTTCTAAGTGTGTTCTAACGTTGAAAGTGGTTGAAAGCCAAACGTGAACTGCATAGACTCATATTTTGGAGTTATGACTCAATCTGGAGGGTGGCTTTAATGATTCCAAATAGAGAAGAACGGTACATAACGCTCTTTTTCATTTTATTTTGAGATTTTCTTGGAGTTCTGAATCCAATTCTAGGATTTGTCATGCATGATTTTGATTTCAGATGCTATGCTAGAAGTGCTGCTTGATAAGACAACAAAACAGTTACGTAAAAGCCATAAAAAACACAAATGAAAGTCAGCTTGTGCGTTCCGCCCAGGGGGTTCGTTGTATACCATTGTCCCCTACTTATGATAGAATGGAGTGTCAATATGTACGCAAGCATTTTCGCCTAAAAATTGATATTGTTCCACTAGGTACGTAAAACAACTTCCAATCGTCCAGGAATTGCTTCTTTTTTGGGTTTTATAATGGTTGAGCAACAATTTTTCTGGGCTTTTAAAACATTTAATGTCCAAATCATTTTTATAGCGGCGCCGGTGGTGTAGTGGTAAGCGTGATTACTTCTCACCCCAGCAGGCTTGGGTTAACATCTCTGATCACGCAAGGGGGGGGGGGTCTACAAGGAAGCTGGTCCCCGGTTCATGAGTTGATGGGTCGATAGGTAGGGTCCAGGTGTGGGAGCTGCCTCCCTGGCGTCGGTAGCATTGATGCTCAGCACGGAAAACAAGATCGACGGAAAAAAGGCAAGGTAAAAAAAATCCATTTTAAAAATAAAAAAAAAATATTCAACTAGGGGAAAAGTTGGCTTCGGCAATACTTTAACCTATTATCGTCAGGGGGGTTAACAAAGTCCTAGAGCACTCAAATTTGGCCAATAGTTGCTCTGAAACACAATGTATCCACATGCCAAAATTGAGCTCTCAAGGATGTTTTTTATCCCCTGACGATAATAGGTTAAGGTATTGCCGAAGCCAACTTTTTCCCTATTACAAAATCCGAAATTGGAAGTAAGTTCCAACTGATTGAAAGCTGTTTCATCAAAATCGGTCAAGAAATGGTGAAAAAGTTTGGGTACGCAAAGGTTAACCACCAACTCCGCAATCCTAGCGTCAGACAAGAAGTTAGAAGTTATTAATTAATTAATTAATAACAATTTGGCTCAGTTGTTGGGGAACTAATTTCAGATTTTCACCAAGAGCAGTTGGGCACAGGGGGCTGTGAAGTGGACCCACCATAGCAGACATGTATACATATATTGTATTGATGTAATCATATTCAAGAATGTTTTGGAAGACACAAATGTTCCATAATTCACTCAATCAGAAAAGATCGACCCTAACCAATTTCCTCTTTTTCTATTCCGAATTTCAGCTCAAAGCCCGACCTGTGACCACTTGGAAGCATAATAACGAGCACTCGGGTGAGCTGTCCGTCTTTTGCTGGTGATGATGAGCGATCGGCGAACGGTGATCCGATGACGTTGACAGTTGCATCAGCAGCTTCTTCGTCACCCACGGCAACGTTTGTCTACCGATGAATTTTGCGAGCCTTAGGTTCCAATTTGAGTTTTGTGCGGCCCATCGACAGCGACAGAATCGACGACTACACTGTGACACACTGTACATCATGCTGCTGCAACTGCTAAAGCAGTGCAGCTGTCATTGGTAGTGTTTTCTTATTGCAATGTTTTGATAATTTTTATTTTCCTACAAATTTGTTAGACACATACGATTCCTTCTTAGTTACACAGATTTATAATAGCCCAGTTTATGTTTTCGTTTCCTCGACAAAGTTGACAGGATTTTGAGATAGTCTAAGATTGAAGAATGATTAAATAGCAAACGTAGAGAGGTGCAGCTTCAGTTTCCTTGTTGGTTGAGGGTGAACGTGTTTAGCATAAGACAGATCTCTTCTCTAGCACTTGGATCTAGGATCCATTGTTGCGTTTTGTCCTTGTTTGTTTTTAAGTAGAAGGAAACACAATCTCATCTCATAGCAGGCGAATGAAAGAATGTTCAAGGTGTTGTACACTGAAGCTGGTTACGGTTTTTGCGATAACTTTGTTGATAACGCGTAAGAATTTACAGAAACAAAATGTTTTATCGATTACTTTAAGCTATATTCTATTACCTTTCAAAGCAATTTTGTGATTTTAATATTTAGTAGTGTTTTTTGTTTTAAGTTTAACACCCTTTGTCTCTTACTAGAATGCGAACCACAGTACTAACTACAGAAACTTCAATTGTTGTAGAAGAACGATAGCAAAGTAGTAATGTATGAATCGTTTGTTTGCAATCGAGTTGTGGAGGTGCCACAAATGGCGTGTAGAGGAGAGTATTAACTCTTTGCATTTGCAAGACTAGAAGGTTATGACAAATGACTAAAATGATAGTGGAAAAAATGTGCTATTCGATCATTTTGAAGCAACGAATGATGATGGCGTTGGAAATACTTCATTAAAGATGGATATTTCTTAAATAACAAATAGGTATATCCTTTTCTCAGGGATTCGAGTCATGTATTAAACGATACTCAGAATCGGAACGTATGGACCGTACTATCGAGTTCACTTAACTTTTTGATACAGTCTGATGGATTCGTTAGCGACAGGTTTCGAAGCTATTAAAATTATCTGGAAGGGCATCTTCAAATGAAAAAGTACTCAGCTAAGCACTAACATTGCGCAAGTCAGCATGAAATGAAGTAAAACAATAACCATAACTACCGAAATCTGCCAGTTATACACAAGCACACACAAACACAGTTAAGATAACCAACAAATGAAAATACTGCCGAAATACCTATTCTGTCATTAATTACGAAACACAACTAGAAGCCCAGAAACTTCAACAGATGAGAATATTTCGCTCGATCGAACGAGTCCAATGCCGATTTTTCAACGATGATCTCCAATTTGGCGTAGCATTATAGATTTTGGTTCAAATCCATTGAATGCGAAAAACTACAATCGAGAAGAAATGAAATACTGGATATTTGAACTATAGTGAAATTAAAGCAAAACTACTCAACATCATAGGGAAAGACCGACAAACGGAAATATCCAGTAATTAACTTCAATTCATCCGTGAACGGTCGATCCGATTTCGTAATGCTACTCCTGTTCTATATAATTAATGACAGAAGCAGTTCTACTCACACTTTAACAACCTAGAACTCGAAATACGAATACAAGCGAATAATTTTAAAAGTAATACAAAACAAACGATATCTCCTCGATTTCGCAGAACAAAACAAAAGTTTGTTAATATTCGAAGCAACACGCAAACAAAACGACAAACAATACATTATTATCATGATTATTATACATATATTTTACCGAAAAACAAATACAACACACAACAAATCATAGGAGATAATAGCCATAACAAAAATCAATTTATCATTAGTCATTTAATGAAAGCCGAATGAACAGTCAGTAAGCGAAGGGGTCAGATAGCCATGTCCATCTTTTTGACTAAACTAGGACGATGCGAGGAGTGTGGAATATGAAATGAAACTTTACTATAGGTGTGATTCACAATTATTCATTAACGATACGTAGAGAACAAGTAAATTAACAGTAAACTTGCTGTAGTCAAATCACCCAACTTCAATTGATTCCGAATGATTGCGTTCATATGTGTTGATCAACGTAACCTGAAAGCACGTGCATTTCAAAACTGTTACTCCTTAATCCGTCTGCTCAAAGGGCAATTTAGTGGGGGCACGACAACGGCCAACATGCCAACTTTGAGGGGCTGTGATATTCGAGAACGGATTAAGGGCTATCTGTGATTATTTGCAGCTTTGAATCACCTTCCCTCTCCATCGCTCCCGGCTCCAAATCCTTTCTCAGCATCCCAGAAAAAAAGTATTCTTTCGTTTCCCGTTTGAGAATCGTTGGAACTGAAAGCGAAACCCGTGTGGAAGGACGACAAAAGACTAATACACGTATTTCTAATTTGTTTGTAGAACTACTCTTATCACTCGATACAAAACCAATTGCAAAAGTGAGATTGCTCACATTTGCAAATACCGATCATGATTTTTAACGTGACGAAACTCAAATAATTATAAAATTGTATGAATCTAACAGGCACAGGCACGGGGATTATCCCTCTGCACCGAAGAAGGAACAGACGTAAACAAACAAATACAAACGATTGCTTTTAGTATTGGAAATTATGATAAAAAAATCACACCCAAAAAAACTTATAAATATTGTACTAGTAGAAAACCCGATTTAAAATTTAAGGCATACAAATGAAGAAAACATTTTTCAGTGAAACAAATCAAACCATGAAATAAAGAAAAATAAAAATAAAAGCTGAACGAGCAAGGAGAAACCAATGTGAAGGCAAAGCCCACACACATACAAACACAACAACAAAAGAAATCATACAAACTTAGATGTCGTCTCAATCGAATTGGATATAAATTAGCATTAAAAACAATTGAACAAAAAATTGCATAGCACACACAAAACACACACACACACACAAACACACACACATTATAAAAAATCAACACAAAAAGATTGAAAATCATTGGAATGTGAATTGGTGGTTCGTAACAGAAGAAAAAAAAAAATAGTGGAGGATGGAAATCATTGCAAAAATAATGATCAATTGGAAAGAATGGAACATGGAGACACCTAGTGCGAGCATAAATCATGAAGGAATGAGTTTTTACGTATACCTATGTTTATTTTTTATTTTTAAATGATTATTAGAATACAAAGCAGAAACAACAAATCTGATTTATGATTAATTTAACCAATTGAAAAAAAAAAGATAAATAAAAATCCAGAACAAATACCATGCGTTTCCTTTGAGTAATGCGTTTGCATCTGCAGTCATGCGTTTGTTTTGTAGCGAAGCAACACTGTTCGAAAGAGCTTTTGCACGGTGATAAAAGAGCTGTGGGAGTTTTTTTTTTCAATTCGTGTATTTATCGAAAATCGAAAATTGGAAATCGAGGAATATGTTTTATCACTTGTAGCGGTTGGCTCCAATTCGGATTAATTTTTAATACCGACCCTGTTTGGATGATCTACAAAATAATTGTTTAGATTCGTGTTGATTAACTCTGATGTCAACATCAAGGCACCCGGACATTCTTGATCGTGATTTAATCTGTGGATAATACCGGTTGGAGTTTACTACCATTTGTGAGGAACACCACTTTCTACTATTTCGAGAGAAATACTACTCAATTTTGAGTTAGTCGGCATTGGCAGTGTGAAAATAATTGTTATATCCATCAATTAATGGCTATATAATAATGATTTTTTTTTTTTTAATTACAAATAAATAGTCCAATCGACATAGTAACGAAGTCGATTAATAAAATATATATATATATGTTCATTAAAAGCCATTTATTGATGGATATCAATTATTGCCACACTGCCCATGAGACTAACTCAAAACTGATGATAATACTATTTAGATTTGAAAGGCCTATTTGAATTGCTCTCATAAATCACAACAATCAATCCCAATGTTGATTTAAAAGTAGCCGCAATAAAACTAGTTGGCTATGAAACATCCATTTTATAACAGTGATTAGCACTCAATTCCAACTTGTCTACGCGACTAGGCGCATCAGCTGGAAGTTGCACTACCCACGGAAGAGCAGCTTAGCGCAGCTTCTCTTAAAGATGGCTGGAGGGACATCCGTTCCGCCGTAGGTAGTACTGCTGCAGCGGCACTAGGTACTGCGATCCCGGACCGAATAAATGACTGATTTGACGGCGAATGCAAACTGTTAGTAGAGGAGAAGAATGCAGCACGGGCGAGAATGCTGCAACACCGCACGAGATTGAATATTGAGCGATACAGACAAGCGCGGAACAGACATAACTCGGATTTCCGAAGGAAGAAGCGTCAGCAGGAAGACTGAGATCGCGAGGCGATAGAAAATCTACGTGTCGCAAGCCGATATGAGTAAGAACTTGGACGGTAATCTTCTCACGAACGAGTGTAAGGTGATTGAGAGGTGGAAACAGTACTATGACGAGCACCTCAACGGTGATGCAGCGGAAAACGAAGGTGGCACGGCAACAGACCTTGGAGCACGCGCAGAAGATGACAGGCTACCGGCCCCTTATCTTCAAGAAGTTGAGGAGGAGATCGGTCGACTGAAGAACAACAAAGCAACTGATGTAGATCAACTTCCAAGTGAGCTATTAAAATACGGTGGTGAAGCACTGGCCAGAGCGCTGCACTGGGTAATTGCCAAGATTTGGGAGGAGGAGATATTACCGGAGGAGTGGATGGAAGGTGTCGTATGCCCAATCTACAAAAAGGGCGACAAGTTGGATTGCTGCAAACACACTGCTGAGCGCCGCCTATAAGGTACTCTTCCAAATTCTATGCCGCCGCCTGTCACCATTAGCAAGTGAGTTCGTGGGGCAATACCAGGTGGGATTCATGGGTGCCCGCACCACCAAGGACCAAATTTTCGCGATTTTGCAGGTTCTGCAGAAATGCCGCGAATACAACGTGGCCACACATCATTTGTTCATCGATTTCAAATCCACATACGACACAATCGATTGAGATCAGCTATGGCAGAGTATGCACGAGTACGGATTTCCGGTTAAACTAAGCCGATTGGTCAAGGCGACGATGGATCTAGTGATGTGCGTTGTTCGAGTATCGGGGATACTCTCGAGTTCCGTTGAATCTCGAAGGGGGTTACGGTAAGGTGATGGACTTCCGTGTCTGTTATTCAACATCGCGTTAGAAGGTGTGATCAGAAGAGCTGGGATAGACACGAGTGGCTCGTTCTTCAGGAAGTCCATCCAGCTTCTTGGTTTCGCCGATGACATCGACATCATGACACGGGACTTTGAGACGATGGCAGAAACGTACATCAGACTAAAGGCTGAAGCTAGGCAGATTGGACTTGCCATCAAGTGCAACGCAAATTGATGGTGAAGAAATCGAGGTGGTCGATGAGTTCGTGTATTTGGGATCACTCGTGACCACCAAAAATGATACCAGCAGAGAAATTCAAAGACGCATTATGACAGAAAATTGTGCCTACTTTGGACTCAAGAGGACGCTCCGGTCGAATAAATTCGCCGCCACACGAAGTTGGCTGTCTACAAGACGCTGATTAGACTGGTGGTCCTCTACGGCCACGAGACCTGGACTATGCTCGTGGGACCAACACGCCCTTGGTGTTTTCTAACGGAAGGTGTTGCGTACCATCTACGGTCGAGTGCAGATGAATGACGAAACTTGGAGGAGGCGAATGAATCACGAATTGCACCTGCTGCTGGGAGAACCATCCATCGTCCACATTGCAAAAATTGGGCGACTACGGTAGGCTGGGCACGTCGTAAGGATGCCGCACGGCGACCCAGTGAAAATGGTTCTAGAAAGTGACCCAACAGGAACAAGTAGAAGAGGCGCGCAGTGGGGAAAGTGGGTCGACCAAGTATAAGGTGTCCTGCGGACCCTTGGCATAAAGCTATGTCCATTTAGAATCCGGAATAATAAAATCATCTGTATCTCGGTAACGGATTGACGTACAAATAAGGTTAATACATCAAAACAAAGGTAATTCACTATACTTTTAGAAAAAAATATCAATACAAATTATTTCTCTTCGTTTCTAATGAATTCGCACTTTCTTCTTTATTCCTCCCATCAAACGCTACACACCTCCGGAGTCAACTTCTTTCGCACATTTGTTTCACATTTTGGTCATCTGAATCGCGTCCCGAGCCGTTTTTCCACTTTTCTTAAGCTTTCGCTTCATTATTGCCCAAAATTTCTCGATGGGCCGTGAAAATTATACCACAGAAAATGGGCACCTAGGTAAACAAACCGCTGCAAAATAATTCTTGCAGCGGTCACTTTCCGTGCCGCTGCAACACAATAAGTGATTCCGGATTCTAACTGGACAGAACATTACTACGAGGCTGGCGAAGTTTGGCCATGGATCGAGTAGAGTGGACACGACTTCTTCGGACAGCAGAGGACAACAAGGCCTTGATCTGATTGGTAAGGTAAGGTAAGATTATGGCACTTTTAAGTGAAATGTACAGAAGTATTTCATCAACATTGCTTCAGCCGGAACTTTCCGCAAGTAGCTCCAGCCAAGAAACAAGTTCTCCTGTGTTTTCTGCGGATGTCATGGAGGCAGCTTTAGAGAGTCTACCACACCACCGTTTTGCTGGCCTAACGATGAGGAAGATTGAACATTCGCCAAACTGCGTCTCTAAACAGTCCTGGACGAATTTGCATTGAAGGAGTTATCGGACATCTTGTATTATTTTTCTTCTCGTCTGGTGCCAACCGATTGACAACCCTACTACTAAAATGATTGTTTATTTACTTATTGTCTTGTGATTTACAATGATTGTACATTTCAACTGATTTAGCCCGAAAGCCCTTCATCTTAAGGAAAGCATATTTCTAGATACACACCAAAAAATTATGAATTTTAATGGTGATGTAAATATCCATGCATGCTGAAATTGAAGCATGTAAACTTCCTTTTCACGTAAACCAGCAACTTGCAAGAAATATTGCTTGCAAAGATGGATGGTTGCATACAATATTTATAATATTTCATTAAATGACTCATAAATTTACACAATCTGTATTGTGAATTTGTATGATATGTGACGCTCCATTTATGTGCATCATAGTGACAGAAATTTACACTACTTTTTCGAACTGTGTAGAGCTGGAATTAGGGCGAAACAGCTTTTGTAAACAATGACTTCTATCGATGATTTCTAGGAACTCAAGGCACGCCCACGCAGACCAACATATCCATGGGATAGGGGAAGTTTTTCCCCACCTGATGAGGATGTTGGTTTGCGTGGGTGAGCCTTGAATTTCTAGGGATCATCGATAGAAGTCATTGTTTACAAAAGCTGTTAGGCCCTAATTCCAGCTCTATCTAGATTTGTTGATTTTAATTAGACAATTTGATATTCTCTCTACTTAACCTAACGTGCCTAGCCTAACGTGCCAGAACCCTAATGATCTATTGATCGGATCACATGCAGCAATCTCTGAACCTTTTGATGGTAGCAGTCAGGCGGTGGTCCTCAGAATTTCTAGTACGCGGTGGACTGTTGAGGATCCTCAGGATCTTGTTCTGGATCCTTTGTAGTTTGAGGTGATAAGAATGTGCGCAACTCTCCCAGATTGGCAACCCGTACTCTTTGACGGGAAGGATTATTTGCTTGTAGACAGCAAGTTTGTTTTTCAGGGATAGGGTGGATATCCTATTAATTAGCGGGTACAACGACCTTATCAAGCCCGCTAAACCTTATTATGTTGTTTTTGTTTTGTCAACATGCTGCCTGAAAATCAGCTTGCTGTCGAGTGTTAGTCCAAGGTAGACTGCCTCTTTGGACTACTCCACCACTGTGCCGTTAAGGCAGATTTTCATATGTTCTTCATGAGGAAGATCGGAAGACCGTATGCAACTTGTACACCAGACCATCATGCCAGACATTGTCAAACACTTTTTCTACGTCTAATAATGCCATAGCAGATGTTTTTAAAACAGCCTTGTTCCGTTTAAGAATGTTTGTTACTCCGGTCAGTTGGTGGACGGTTGATCGACCTTTTCGAAAACCAAACTGCTCCTCGAGTAAGATGTTGTTTTCTTCGGCAGATGTTAGAAGCCGGCTGTAAAACTGCCCTTTCGAATAGCTTGGTTAACCCTGATTAGAGGCTGATGGAACGGTAACTTGAAGGAGAGAAAGGATCCTTCCCAGGTTTCCGTATAGGGATGACTTTAGCTAACTTCCAGCATGATGGGAAGTAGCCAAGTCGGAGGCACTTATTGAAAATCAGTGCCAGATGGTTGTAGAATCTGGAACTCAAGTGCTTGAGCTCCAGATTCAGGATGTTGTCGAAACCTGGGGCCTATTTTTTTTTTGAAGTTTTGATACAAGCCAACAGTTCGTCAGCCGTTATCTCGGATTCCTCGGGAAAGATGTTAGGAACCTGGTGAAGATTGGTTACATTGTCATCAACCTCAGCTTCGTGAGGGCTGGTGATGTTTTGTCCAAGATTGTGGGAGCTGACGAAATGTTGTCCTATCGCGGCAGCCTGCTCTTCAGGTGTTATCTTTGACAACCCAGTGGATGGCTAGTCTGTCTGACTACCCCGTGAATCTTATTAAAAATGCCATCCGAGAACATTATTTAAAAATATTAGTTTTATAGTGGAGTTCAAACGGTAATGCCTCGACCAAGTAGATTTATTGCTGGCATGATGAAGAGAAATTAGATTTATTGTCGAAAACATCATTGCTTTCTGTCCTGCCAACAACTCAGTGGCCATATTGGTGTAATGGAAATGTCTAGCATTGAAAAAAAAAATCCATGGATTTTCGGAAAAATAAAAGATTTAAGGTCTGAAATTAATTCCGGTGTGCTTCCATATTATTGAATGTGGTAAGATCGAATTTCTGGCAAATTAAGATAAACTGGAAAACAATCTCATAGCAGTTACCAGGAAGTTGTGATGGAGCTCTTAGTATTATTACAAGTTTTATAAAATAAATCTAAAATGTTCATGGGAGGATTTTCGTTAGTAGAAAACTAAAACCCACTAGCGATGTTTTTTTTTCAGTTTCAGCAATAACGATAATTCCGTAATTTTGAAGTTCTGCAGAGTTCTGATGACTTGCGCAAATCATGAACATTTCCTGGGTAGGTATACACGGCGAATGAGAACGAGCCAAATTTGAGTTTAGTTCACTCATAATCGCAAAAAGTGCAGGTACACAGCGATGAGTAAATTTCCCTCACGGTTTAATGAGGAAAACCTCCAAAATCTGCCAGAAAATGAGGAAAATTTACGAAAACTTTACTCATTCTAGGAGTAGTACCAATAGACTAAGTGAATCCAATCTTTCCTTTTATCATATTCGGGAAAATGCTCCTGGACAAACCTGGAAAAACAAGAGGCCATTTATGTGATTTATGAGTAAACTAAACTCAAATTTGGGTTGTTCTCATTCGCCGTGTAGACAAATTTTTAAATCAAATTTAACTCAATTTTGAGTTGCTTTCATTGGCCGTGCATTCGTTTGTTTTGCAGTGCAGACACTGAACCACCAATAAGGGTTAAGCGTTGTTTAAGCATTCTGTGATGAACGCTTTATAAGCGATGCGTTCTCTAGTGAAAGTAATCGGAATCAATGTAGCACAGACGCAAACCACTTTATTCATCATCTGGTGGTGGTAATTTTATCACGGTCATTCTGATCAACTCAATATTGAGTCGAGTCGACATAACTTCGGATTTACCCAAAAATGAGATGAATTTTCCGAGTTTTTCCTGGAAAAACTTCACTAATATGAGAAAAACTGATAGAGGTTCAACTCAGTATATTATTGTATTCGTAGAGAATATAATGAGAGAGAGAAGGATTAGTATTTTCCATTTAATTCCACTACTTTATTTGCTTATCCTTGACAGATACGCGTATTTCGTCTACAATGTGCAGACTTCTTCAGTGTCTTGTACTAATACTCGACTAGTATTAGTACAAGACACTGAAGAAGTCTGCACATTGTAGACGAAATACGCGTATCTGTCAAGGATAAGCAAATAAAGTAGTGGAATTAAATGGAAAATACTAATCCTTCTCTCTCTCGTTATACAGGTATTCCACTAAGACGCCCACATTCATCAGGATTCGTAGAGAAGTTTTTTCTACGGCTTTTTTCCAGTCTCTTTTACGTCAATCCACTTTTGCCGAATTGAAATTGGTCTGAACGACCGTTAAAACGCTGTCAAGATAGCGCTATAACATGTTAAAACTCTGTAGTCTGAACGTATTATAAGAAATCATTTTTTTTAAACAACACTTCAAGGCCAATGAGATCAACCCAAATTTAGTTTACTCATAAATCGCTAAAAGTACAGGAACTCAGCGATGAGTAAATTTTCCTCATGTTTTTCCAGGAAAAAAAAATCCGAATATGAGAAAAAGTGAAGATTGGATTTTCTCAGCGTATTGGAACTACTCCTAGACTGAGTCAAATTTTCGTCAATTTTCGTCATTTTTCGACAGTTATTTGAGGTCGTCCACAGGAAAACACGAGGCAAATTTACTCATCACTGAGTTGCTGCACTTTTTGCGATTATGAGTTAACTGAATTCAAACTATGGATGATCTGATTGGCTGTGTGTTTGAATATTTCAGTATTAATCGTCTACATAGTTGTTGAATCCAACGCATATTTGAAAAAAATCGCGAAAACCAGGTCAATACTGAGTAAATTTTTTTTCTCTAATACCTGCTTGATTATAAAGAAAATTGTGGAAAATTTTAATCAATTCTACGAGTATACCAATTGGTGCTCGATTTTCCTCATATTCGAAAATATTTTAAGTAACATCGAAGAAAATTTTACTCAGCCTATGTTTTTGGAAATTTGAGTAAACGTTACTAACATTTGAGTTAGATTCATCGATCCTATATATCCGAAGTTCACTTTTAGACGGACGTCATAAAAACTGATATGAAGAAAGGATGCACGGTCTACAAAAGGAAAAGCATTTATTTTGAAATTCATTAAAATCACACTCTAAAATATTTAATTAGACATTCTTATATCACCGACACTAAGCTGGTAACTCTCCCCACTTCCGTTGTCGGTATCAAAATGCCCCAAATCATCCATATCACTAACGGCATAAGGGTGTATTAAATTCTTGGACATCTGCAGGACCTTCAGCTTGTCAATCAAAGTCTTCACTTCAAATCCAACGCCATTCTCGTAGTAGAAAGCATGCATCAGTTTCTTGTTCCAGTCTATGCTCGGGAGCGTTTTCTTTAGCACTTGCAGGGTATGGTTATAAAGTGACTTCAAATCGAGGAGTGGTTTCTCCGGACGGGAGTGCAGGAAAAGATTCTTACTGGTTTGGGTGACGTTGTTGCAATGTTGAAAAACATCGTAAACAATGTTTTCCAACAGGTTGACTTCGGCTTCAAGCCCGGCGATGCTTGATTGATCTTTAGTCGATCCGGATGTGGACACAAGAGAAGAACATCCCTCCAATCGAGGTAAAATGCGATAATCTGAAGAAGAAAAAACTCATTTTCAAGGAATGCTTCGAACTGTTGATCGATCCGATCGAATTTTACCTGCCACGTAGAACTCGTTGCTCTTCAAAGCGTGTACCGATCCGTTGACCATTTGCTTGATCACTCTGTACTTAAGATGATCGCCAGTTCTAATGATAGCATTGTCACTGTGAATCATAAATTTCCCGTATGTAACTTCCGTTGTATTGAGGCAAATGTCACATTTAGGTGCGTCCAGGCTGTGCTTCTGGTTCAGGAATATCTCAATTCCGAAACCTGCCATTTCCTGTTGCATTGGGTACCAGATCATCAATCCTTTCGGGTAGTAGATTTCAATGTGCACATTTTGGTCCCGTTTCCGATGGCTGCGATGGTGGTCCCGATGGTGACGGGCTTCCAAAGTGGTTGCCACCAACAATAGAATCACCAAACAAAGGTTAACAGTGGATTTCATTATTGTTTAAACACACTTGATTATTTTCTGGTTCGGCATATAATCACCCCGTCGAGATCGATTTGTGAACTGAGCCGATTTGCATCGATGCACGAGGTTTTGGTATGCAAGATAGCGCTCTTCGTCGATCTATTAGAAGTAAATTAATTGTGTCTCTTCGGACGGACTCTCACCGAAGAGGAACTCAAACGATAGCATTTTAATTGTATGATGTTTTGACCTTAAAAGTCTACACTGACAATGATAGTGAGATCAAGGATTTAATTTTATCACCTTAATCTTTAACATTTTCAGTAGCCTTGAGTAAGGAACTGTGGTTATCGAGAAAGGTGTGTGCAGAGGAAATCCGAGTAATCCAACATTAATTAATAAACAAACAGACACTCCAATTCGGTTTCAGACCATTTGGCTAAACGAATAATGAATATCAAATGTGGAAAATTTAAAGAGAGATCGTTGAATTTAAATAAACTCAATCACAGATGAATTCCAAATAAGAGTCTTGGATCAACACTGATTTTCACGAGATCAAATTTAACTATAAGCTTTGAAGTAAAAGATTCAGACCGGCATGGATTTTTTGATGTTGGGGTATAACGAACCCCTTGTAATAATGAATTTAGAATAAAGGGTTGCTTCCACTCACTTGCTATAAAACAATGTTTTTTTCTCTAAATTATGAGATCATTAGATGATATACAAGCTTTGCAGAAGTTTTTGAAACTTCGCTAAAATATTTGAAATTTCCATCAAGTTTTTGAAACTGTGTTCACCTTTTTGGAACTTTGCTGATGCTTTTGCAACTCAGCTGAATTTCTTGGACCTTCGCTTAACTTATTTAAACTTTGTTGATGCTCTCGGAGCATATCGAAGGAACTTGAACTTCTCAGAATTCCTATGTCATCGAATGTCTCCGAGGTTCAAGAAACTTAGTTAAAGTGTGTTGAAGCTTGCTGATGTGTTTGGTACGTCACTGAATTTTTTAGAACTCTACTGAAGTCCCTAGAAATTTATTTACGTTTTCGGAACTGAGTGGAAATTTTTCAAACTTCGCTGAAGTTTTTAAAACTATTCCGGAGTTATTGGAGACATCGGAGCTAATCTTAAAACTTTGAACTGCTCCCTAGACTACTACAAAGTTCCCGGCATTTTCGGAACATCTGAAATTTTTTTCGAAGGTTATAGAATTTCTCTGAAGTTTTCGGGGCTTTTCTCAAGCCTGTCTGAGACCTTCACTAAATTTATTTGAGTATACTTAATATTTCAAGTCCATAATTCTTAAGCAAAATTCAAAACACTTCCAAGAACTTGAGATAAGCTCCGAGAATTTAGGTGAAATTTCAAGATCTTATCTTTCGGGGAGCCACCGCTTTGCTGATGAGCATTTATTTTCACCATACATCCGACAAATTTCCTGACACATTTGAGCAGTAAATGTCACCAGCCTTTTATAAACTACTAGGGACTCGTAGTTTCAGATTAGTTCGGATGCTGATTTTAGTGAAAATTTATATAAATTTCTCTTAGATTCCCCCTTACACATTTTCTGCATTTGTCCCAACAATCAAACCTTGAGATAGATCAAGCCAAGCTTAACAAAAAGCCTCATTTTCGAGATGGGTCAAATTTTACCCATGTGGCTTGGACGCACTCATTTTGTAGAACAGTTTTAGTTCTAGCCGAATTGCACACGAAACAATCCTTGATTTGTTTTCCGTCGATCTTGTTTTGCGTGCTGAGCACCAATGCTACCGACGCCAGGGAGGCAGCTCCCACACCTGAACCCTACCTAACGACCCATAAACTCATGAACCGGGGATCAACGGCTTTACTTCCCTTATGAAGGAAGGCGTGATCAGAGATGTTATGCCTCAGAACATCTCGGCGGCGCCGACTGGGATTGAACCCAGGCCTGCTGGGGTGAGAGGTAATCACACTTACCATTCTACCACCGGCGTTGCTACGAAAAAACCAAAAACCAAAATCGACCGCGAGACGTTTCTTTTTGTTTTGATTGGTTCCTCCAAATAGCAACGTTGGATTGGGTTATATCCTGGGGGAGACGTGCTGTCATATCAGCCTACTGATCATTCTTGTATGAAATTGATTCCAAACGTAAACAAACCCTGTAGGTAGGTTTTTTATGGCTTGTTTGATGCTACATGAATTGTGATGCTACATGAATGAATTTGAATCTGGGACCAACATGCGCACACCTTTAAAAAGGTCTGATTGCAAAAAAATTGGGAAATTAAAGGATCTTTAAGAGTTAGCTTCGACAAGGGCAATCTAATTGATTTCAGGAAAAAAATATTTCAGTGATAACCCAGAGCTGCAGGGCAGTTCCATTAAATTCAGGAAAATTACAATAAATTTACTGTAGTGGCAAAACTTCAGTTAAGCTTAAAGATCTATGGGTAGGTAACGTGAACTTCGGGTAAGTTCTGAAAATGTTGGGGTAGTTCCATGAATATCAAGAAAACTGTGTAATCTTCAGGGACGATCCTAGGACTTTAGATGAATTGCGAGAACTTTATGGCAGCTCCATTTATTTTAGTAAAATAGAGGGAACGATCAAGAAGTACTGAAAAGTTAAGGATAATTGAATAAATTTCAGGGAATAAACTTTAAAAAATTATGAAGGCTACGCAGAAGTTCCAAGTTTAAAGATCTTCTGGGCGATTCCATTAATTTCTGGACAACTCCAGTAACATCATCAGGAGAATAGCGAGAACATTAATGAATTTCCGTAAACTTCAAGAGAGTCTGAGGAATGAAAAGAAATACTGAGAAGTTCAGGAAAGTTTCATAAGCAAACTACGGGAACAAAAGGGAAGTTCCAAAAGCTTCTGGAAATGTTTGTGAACTTCTGGAAAACTTTAAATCTATAATCGGTTGCTGATCTGGCCAAAACCAAGCCTAAGAGACAATTTCTGGTTCCTCATTCTAGGTCCCTATTATTTGCCGCTGAGAAGCTGTTCCGAAGCCAAGTAGAACCTCCACGAGGCGTCCCATCAATCGTCATTAGTTCCGGAATAGTTCATGTTGATCTTCGTCAAGCTTCGTCTACAATTTGGACTTCTACATCAACACATGTCAAGCAGCCTTCAGGTTCAATTGGCTAAACTTGGTGAGCTCGTTCCATTTTGTAAATTTTTATCTTTTAAAACCAGTAGCGTTGGGAGATCACCTTTTTGTGGTGCGTTACTGGTATAAGATCTACCACCGAACCCTAGTCGTGACAATTTCAATCTAGGGAATCAGGATTTTCCAGTTATCAAAGGATCACATTTTAGTCCTTGTTCCTTTTCATGACTTGATAATAGTGACAAGACTCGGGTAGTGGCCACCGCCGTTATGCATTTCTATATTGTATATTTCAAATAAAAAATATTGCTTATGTTCATAGAGTTTACATAATCCTTTTCCCTTTGTCGCATCGCGTTTAAATCTTCGATTTAAACAGGCCCGATGTTTTCTGAATCATCTTGCCCCTTAAATGCTGCACAGTAGGCCTGGTCGTTTTGATATGTGTGACACATCTTCGATGTGAAGTACATATCAAATAGACAAGAAAAATGATGGAGGTATAAATATCCATCATTTTCCAGGATGCTTTCAAGAACTGGCTGTGTTATTTATTTATTTATTTTATTTATTCCTTCGTCTTCGATATACTCGTTCAGACTGCAACTTAATCTAAATTTCTAATTCTAGTACTAAACACATTTTTGCTAATGTTAAAGTCAAACTGATCATAAACAGTGTTGAAAGCACGTATACAGGTACTCAGAGGGTTGTTATGTCCATAGCTTGTTCTGTGATGAGGTACGTAAAGCGCAGCGTGAGTTCGAAGTGAACGAGATGGAGCGTAGAAGTTGACAAGCTGACGCAGCGCAGGGCAGTCGATGCGATCCGTAAGAATGTCGAAGATGAAGATACGCTGCAATTTCAGGCGTCTGGCAGACAGCGTTTCCAGGTCAAGTAATAAGCAGCGTGAGGTATATGGAGGCAGGTGTGTTTCATTGTTCCATGGTAGGTGGCGGAGAGCAAACCGAACGAAGTATTTCTGAACTCGTTCTAATTTGCTGGCTAGTGTAGATTGATACGGTGTCCAAACAGGTGCGGCGTATTCAAGTATGCTTCGTACCAATGAGCAAAATAACGCCTTCAAAGCATAAGCGTCGGTGATGAAGGCTGCATGGCGTCGAATGTATCCTAGGACAGCAAAGGCCTTTGCAGCTGTTGTAGAGATTTGTTCGTTGAATCTCAGTTTGCTGTCCAATATAACACCTAAGTCACGAATAGAATCTACACGTTCCAGGGCAGAGGGCCCGATCTTATAGCTGTATTTCAACACAGTGCGGCAACGTGTGAATGAAATCGCTTTACATTTTTTTATGTTAACGTTCATCCCGTTCTCTTCGCACCATTTCAACAATTCGTCAATGTCGTTTTGTATGGCAGCACAGTCCGAGACCGATGCAATTACCCTGAATAGTTTAAAATCGTCTGCGAAGAAAGATTTGCCAGACGATAAGCGGAGACCGAGGTCATTGATGTACAGAATGAAAATAAGTGGTCCTAGCACACTTCCTTGAGGTACTCCAGAGGTTACGTCGAAAACTGATGACTCTTCAGTCTCGATTTGAACAAAAGCTTTGCGATTTGTTAGATAAGATTTGAGCCACTCAATGATCCAAATCGGGAAGCCCATGTGCAGAAGTTTCTCAGTGATATGGATGTGTGGTACGGTGTCAAACGCTTTAGAGAAGTCCACGTAGACTGAGTCAACCTGGCTACGAGCCTCGACTTCGTGGAACAGAGTGTTTGTGTAGCACATCAAATTGGTCGTTGTTGATCGCCGTTCCACGAAACCATGCTGGAACTCGCATATTAACGGTCTAGATGCATTGTACAAAAACTGGTGCACCAGTTTCTCGAAAACCTTACCGAGGCAGCAAAGTATCGAAATGCCTCTGTAATTTTCTACTCGATTTAGATTGCCAGTTTTGTGGATTGGCACCATTTTAGCAGTTTTCCACATGGTTGGAAATTCGCCTTTTGATAGCGATTGGTTAAATATCAAGGTTACGGGCGTCACTAGTTTTAATGCACAAGCTTTGATAATGGAAGGAGGCAATCCGTCTACACCTGCTCCCTTCGAAACATCCAGGTCGTTCAATAATTTCAGTACCTCCTCTGGAGAGATACATACAGTAGGCAGGTTCACGTCGTACGATGGCACTCGCTGGAAACTTCCGGGAA